ACCTGATACCGGTCGCTCTGGGACAGAACGCCTGGTTTCTCGTCGACTCCAACGTCGCTAACCTGAGCCCCCCTCAGGTGGTGATCAACAGCGGCCGCTTTATCGTTCAGGCGGCGTCCCCGAGAGACAAGCACACTGAGTGGGCCGGGAAGTATCATGGCTCGGGTATCCGTCCGTTTTGCTTGATGCAGCCCTGGACATTGAACGAGCTGTTCACTGGGTATGTTTCACTCAGATAAGAATGCCCGGCTGTGCTGACACGCGCTAGATCTTCCCTGCAAATGGAGCAGCGCACAGGTGCAGACATGCACGCTTTTTTCCACAAGTTCGGGGGCTCAGCCCGGTATGTCTACGACGAGTCCCACCAGCTCCCCGTATTTGACTACGGAGTCAAGCAAGCGGCGACCACACTTGTGAACGACACGGAGTTCATCGTGCGAGTTATCCGGCTCTGGGCCCCTAACCGCTCGATCGACTACAAGGTCGGCGACATACTCATCACTCCGTTGCCCTTGGACGACAGAGACCGGACTAAATTCCGCATGGCCTCTCCCACCAGTTACCTGCAGGATCTGCTCATCCTTCAACTCGACAGGAACCTCCAGACGGCCCGTCGTCTCCTGTATGTCATCAATGTCGGCTCGGGAACTCCTGGCTGCAAAGCGACAGCCGCGGATCTGCTCGATAAGCACCATCACTGGTTTATCGGGGAGGGTGGCAGGTGGCGTCTTCGCAAGTTCAAAAAATCGCCCCATGCCCGCGGGGGAGCGGCAGCTAACCTATGGCGGGTCCAGGAGGAGGACTGTGGCAAAGTTCTGCTGGCCGATGGCAAGATGTCCATAGAAACGCCGTCCAAAGCCAAGCAGCGGCAGCCCAAAGCATTGGCCGTCATCCGTACTCCCACCTCCGAACTGAAACGACTCCACAAACACCAGTTCTACCGGCCGCGCGAGTCCAACTTTCCAACGTTCGACTCTTTCTACATCGACCGAAGCCATCACGCGTTCGTATTCCAGGCGTCGGAGGCAGACAAAACACATACTGTAAACGACCTGGGCCGCGTCTGGATGGAGGACCACGGCATCAACAAATTCACTTACATTTATGTCAGCGGGCCCAAAATGGACAAGTGCCCCACCATATCGCTGCCCGTGGAACACGAAAGCCAGTTTGTCGACATTTACCATCTCGTGCTTGATTATCCTGAAGTACGGGATTTGTTGGAGGTTAAAGTTGCCAACCGCCGGCGGCGCTCCTGATTTGTTCCTTTCATATATGTATTTTTTTCGTCTGTTGAATGCACACCAGACTTTCAGCCAATAGTGACACTGAAATTGGGGATTAGGCTAAAATATCTCGAACGTGGGGGGCAAAGTGAAGTGCCGCCACTGCCGCCCTCGGACACTGTCCTGCAGCGTGTGGACTTTAGTTGGGACACACCTGCGGGCAAAAATTGCGAGCATCTGAAACAGTGCACGGCGAGTGAGTAAATGCATTGATTAAAAAAATGCATACCTGGTCGCCCTGTAAAAAGAAAAGTCGATATGGAAAAATCAGCAGTAGTAACGAATGAGGGGGAGCTGGACTGCGGCTATATTGGGCTATATTTGGAGCGAGAAGCGAAGCCTTACAATTAGATCGAACGAGTCGTACCAGTCTGCCTTCAAAATCCATAGACATCCATAGACCACCATAGTTCTCATGTCGTCTATCATAGTGGCCAAAGCCGTAGCACTCAAAGTACTCATAGTTGCTTATAGTTGACCATAGATCGCTAAAGTAATCGACAAAAAAAAAAATATTGCAGTAAGGCTATGGATACAACTATACGAAAAATTGAACCGCACCACAACGACGAGAACACACACACCGAAGCGAGCTATAGGACGACATGGGTGCTCTTCGGGGTGGTCCTATGGGGAAGATTGTGGATTGCGAGGGACCACTGCATCCGCCAGCTCGCCGCGGTCTTCGAGGTCGACGTAAGGCTTCACGGGTTTCTTGCAGAGGCTGTGAGCTTGACCAAAAGTATCAGCAATATAGCGCTGTGGCCTTCTCTTGCGCCCACGAGATGGCAGGTACACCCCCGGCTTCAGCGTTCTGAGAGGATATCAAGGAAGAAGCTTGGGGCAGTGGCCGAGGCACAAAAATTTGGCGAGCGTAGCTTGGTTTTACGGATGGGCTTGACTACCAGAGGTCTTGTTGACTTGGATGAGACCGGACCGGCGAAGGCTTCAACTTGGGGTGTTTTGAACGGCGGTTTCACTTGGTTCCGAAATGGCGCCGTGGTTTCCGGCGCGACGTAGTGTGCAATTGCGCGTGCCGACTTCGTAGAGTGATGTCTGCGTGCCTTGAAACTTGAACTGTCCTCACGGACGAATAATGCTCGCGCCGCTGCCTGGCGAGCGAAGCGCGGGCGACGCCGATCCCGACCCGCCACCGCCCACGCTGCTGTCCGCGACGGGCGCGTGATGGGGCCGGCCTTGAGCGAGGCACGGCGGCCGGGCGCGAGCTGCGGCTGTTTCGGCGGAGGGCCGAAGGGCGAGGCGAGCGGGAGGGACGCATGCCGCGGTGGAACGGAGTTGACCGAGTTCATACTGGCGGAGCTCGGCGGGAAGCCGCGCGAGGTGGGGGGGCTGCTGTGGCTGTTGCTGCTGTTGCAGTTGGATGCATGACGGGCTATTTCCACTAGAGAAATGAGCAGGGTGAAAAACATGGAGGGGAGGAGAAGACATACGGAGAAGAGGATGGGGTAGATATTGCACACGAGGAAGTATCCCGAGAGCCCGAACCCGGCGCTGACGCAGACGAAGCGAACGATGGCGCGCCGGATTACGCAGAGTTAGCCCAGCTCAAGGAAGGAAGGATGGGAGAGGCAGACGCACGGAAACGGGAATCCAGACGAACATGCCATATTCCCGGATCGCCGCCGCCTCCACGAGTGCCGAGGCCGTATAGATGTTGTTGTTGTTGCTGTTGCTGCTGCTGTTGGGGCACTATGTGACGCGCAGCAGCGAGCTGAACGGGCGGAGACAGGGGCGGTGCGATGGCGGGCACCGGCACAGGCGTAGGCTTGTTGCGCCGTTTGTCGTCGGCAGCGCCGCAGCGCGCGGGTTCAACCCAGAGGCGGCGGGGCGTAGGCGACGTGACCGCAGCGCGCTTATTCTTGGTCGCAGTAGCACGTTGCTGTTGCTACAGTAGCTGCGCCTTCTCTGCCTTCTCCTTCGCCTCGCGCTCCTTGCGCTCCCGGGCAGCCTCTTTTTCCGCTCGCGGTTCTTCGAGTCCTTCTCCTTTTCCTCCTCGCGCGGAGCCGCAAGCTGTGACGTTGGTCGCCTTCGCCTCCTGCTCTTCGCGATTTCATAGTGGTGGAGGCGTGGGTCAGCTATCCATGAGATTGACGATGAGAGCACAAGGCTGAGAAAGCCCAAGACGCCAAACAGACGCAAATATGAAACCGTTAAACACCCAATTTGGAATTTTCTACTCGTCCATTCGGGGTGGACGAATTGTGCCCCACCTATCCCGCGAGTGTAAAAACTATATATTGGGTGACTTCCCGTAAGATAGATTTATCCCACAGGGCGATCGGAGGGGTGCCAAATGATGGCAACTGACGGTTAAATCGAGTATTCCTATTCTACTATTCTCCCGTAAGAGCGCTCATAATATTTTGAATGAGTATCTGGTCCACCAAACCAACACATAAATGAGGTGTCCCAGCCTCCTAAATGAGGTGTCCCAACCCCCCATTCCGCATATCTCATACAGTCCTTAACCGGGAAGCGAAACGCTCAAGCGATCCGGGGATTTTCTCCGTGATGAAAAGCGATAGTCACCCAAACTTTTTTTCACTCAATGTATATACTAAATGGCTACCTGGATATCAAAGAGTTGGAGCGAATCCCTTCAGTATTGGTGGAGAACGGGCCCAAATTGATACCATCAAATTGTGCCATAAACCACGAAGCGAAACACTACAGTAAGATCGGCGCGATGGAGGGTCTTTGAAGTCCTGCGGTGGCCATATTCTAATTCTACGACCCTGAAAACCCCCAATACATGCCATAACTGTGTAATTCCTGCACAGCAGCGAGGGACAGTGGCTGCTCAATTGCAATATTGGTGACAAAACTGAGCCAAACAGTGATTCAAAAAGATTCCTTTTTCTTGAGCTCTTGAACCACTACCTGCGCAATTCCTTTTGTGAATATGAGTTTTGGATACTCTAGAATGCGCTCAAAAAAATCGGGCCCTGGGGGATGCTCACATGATGCAAAACACGTGGTGTTTCGCTTCACGGTTTGTTTCGCTTCCCGGTTAAGAACTGTAACTTGTAGAACTTTGGCCACTGACAGCTCACACCACTGCCTTCTTCACCTCAGCCTGAGGCTCATGCAAAGAAAATGAGCCCGTGTGCCTAGTGCATCTTGAAGAGGTCAAGACAGGTCTGAGCCTTTCATCGATCATCCGGCCCGCAAGGGAGCGCAAGGAACTTGAAGTGGAGAAGGCAACGGAGTCGGATGGTTGATGAGTCAGTGATGACGAGTGCCACATTTAAGCGGCAGGGCGGCGCAAGGGCGGATGAAGTGGCCGAAAGTGTTATTCAACCATCGTTATACTTTCATTTTCATTTTTTTGTCTCGTCATTTTCACAACCCCGGTTGAAATGAAACTCATTTGGAACTAGCAGTAGTGTAGTGGTTAACTTGCACTGCAGTTTGTGCAAGTGAAGTCTCCAATGGGGGATCCCTGTTCGACTCGGAGCTGGGTCATTTGTTTTTCTCTCATTATCTTCCAACATAACTAAACCTGAGGGTGAAGTGATTTTCTTTTGGAGTGTAAGAAAGATCCAGACGTGTACTGGTTAACATTCCCACTTACAGTGGGGACCAATACTAAGTGACAGTGGGAGATCTCTGTTCGACTCAGGGCTAGGTCATTTTTCGTTTTTTGTTTCACTCCTGGTTGAATAAATTTATTTTAAATTGGAAGTAGAGAAAGACCCAGTGGTGTAATGGTTAGCATTTCTACTCACATTACATATTAAGTGCCGCATCGAATTTGGTGGGAGATCTCTGTTCAAGTCAGGGCTGGGTTCACTTTCTTTTCTTTCTGCCTGCTCTGACACGGATTGTACTAATTAAATCTGATTTGGTTGACGGATGAATAGATCCAGTGGATAAGTATCAGGATAACCACCTACTCATGTTCCGTTTGCCGAATCATGTTCGGTGGGAGATCCCTGTTCAATTCGGGGCTGGGTCATTCATTTTTCTGTCTTCTCTTTCTCAAGACAATTGTGGTTGAATTCTATTTTCTTTTGTTACAAGAAGACTCAGTGGTGTAGTGGCAAACATGCCTGCTCAGATTACATGCTATTCAAATTCAGTGGGAGATCCCTGTTTGACTCAGGGCTGGGTTATTTGTTTTTCTTTCTGCTCGTCATTTTTGACAACCCAAGTGGTTGAAGTGCAATTGATCCAGAAACAGAGCAAGAACCAGTGATGTAATGGTTAACATACCCAGTCGCAGTTCACACAGAAATAAGTAGGAGATCCCCGTTCAACTTGGGGCTGGGTCACTTTTTATTTTCTGACCCTCTCTTCTCAATCTAATTGTTATAGTTTCTCAAGTTGTACCAGTCTGGAAACAGCGAAGCACAACATTTGCCGCATTTTTTTTTCGGAATTTGTTTACCTTGGTTACAAGTCTAAGGTTCCCGTTGGATTCAGGGTCCTTCCATTCCTGGCTTCTTCCATTGTTTTTTCTTGCATTTTTTTTCGCTCAGTTACTTCTCGTGGTTGATTTTGCCTTCTCACAGAGCAATGGAACCGTACATACTCTCCGCATTTTTCAAAGGGACTCACACTAGGTTCATGGTTTTCTTTTCACATTCCCACTAAGTATTTTATCATTATGGAAAGTCACCCACTACATACACCACATGTTCATTTACAAGCCAATATTTGTATAAAATTATTCTTGCCTTTGAATGGCTGCTAGCTTCATATCAATCCAATTGATGTCTTTCACCTGCGAAGATTTTCGAAACAGCGGTTTTGCTGCCTTCAATAACTGAACCGACTTCGCAAGATCCCCATTGCGCTCCGAGATATTCGCAATTTGGACCATGCAAGTAGCTCTCCACTGGTGGACATCCATCAATGTGAATTCCCCTAGTGCTACCTCGAACAGACTCCGCGCTGTTTCATCGTCCCCATGGGCAACGAAAATCTGACCCAGGCAATTCAAAGCCTTCATGGTAGCAAGTTTCTCCTTTGCCTTCAACGACAATCCAATGAGTACTGCCGTCCATCGAAGTGTGGTTTGAACATTGTTCATCCCAGTAGCCAAATCTGCAAGTCTTTCCAGACAAAGAAGTGCTAATTCGGGTTTGTCGTTATCCTGGGATGATTTAAGACATGCTGCAAAAATCTCATTTGCATTCATGTGGTTTCCATCCCGAAGAGAGAGGTCTGCAGTTATTACTTCCAGGAAGAGGGATATTTCCGTGTGGTGAAATCCATGCAAGGACTTGCTCCCATGCTGGCAAGTGTCTAGCTTCTGCTGAATGGCTTGGGATTCTACACCAGTTGTTGTATAGATGGACACAATATTTAAGTTTGCCAAGAGTTCCAGGTATGTTGTTGGTCTTTGGGTTGCTGAGACATCAAGGAGTTGGAGAGACTCCGAATACTCTGTTTTCAAAAAATGTATCTCTGCCTGTGAAGTTCGGATATTCGTCTGAAATGCGCTCCATTCCAGATCACTGCAGGAAGCCACCAGGTCGGCAGCATGCTGGAGGAGAAATTGAGAATGCTGATAGTTTGCCAGGATTGCCTGGCATCGTGCCTGTACCCAGAGAGCTTGTGTTTGTCCGTAGACATCACCAAAAGTAGTGAAATACTCTTGTGCCTTGCGTGCATTTTTTTCTGCACCCAAAGGATTCCCGGTGTCCATCATGATCTTCGATATCGAAAATAATGCCCGCGCCGCAGTTATATTTAAGACTCCGGTATTTTCGGATAAAGCAAGTGCCCTGTAATGACACTCAAGAGCCCTGGACACATTTGCTTTTCCCCATTGAAAATAGAGTCCAAGCGCATAGCTCCACTTGGCTAATCAAAAGATCAACATCGAGGCATACCAACGGATGGCATGTGCATCATACCTTGTTCCAGTAGATCCTTGGATTGAAAATATTCATTTCCCAATCTCATTTGCGCCTCGGCATCATCGACAGCAAAAGCAGAAGCGCTTCCAAACAGCTGACACAGATAATCCCCGAAAATGGATTTGTCTTGCCAATGGGGCATCTTGTCAGAGAGTCGGAGGAGAAGGGGTGTATATGTTCCTTTTTGTGCTCTTCGATAAAACAGGTTCAGCCTCAGAATACTGCTGGCATTCTGGACAGCTTCGGGACCATCTGTGCTGAGGCCATCCAGGAAAACACTGTGTAAATTTCCAAGGTTTCGGGAAATATGAGGTGCTATGCCGGTCACATTTACATCCTTGAACTGATTCCACAGATCAAGGAGTTCATTAAAGTAATGGTGTAATTGCCGCTTCAATCCACTTGTTGGAGGATGAATCCTCAGAGTATACTCTCGGATTGGAACCAGAACTTTTATTTGTCGGTTTGCGTCAACAAATGCCAGTGATGTGCGAAGTAGAGTGCTTTTCGCCTCCAAGATGTTTGAGATTTGGAACCCAGCTTGAATTAGATCTGAATCTGTAAGACCATCAGGAAGCATAGACAAAATGCTGAGCAGCTCCTGAGCTCCTGAGGTCATGCGAGAACTTGTGAAAGACAGCATGATTGAGATATCGAGGCTGGATGACTTGTCGTATCCATCTGAGAGCATTCTGGTATTTTCATGCTTCCATCTCGAGAGTGCGGTGGCACATCCTTCATGGGAGGCCAGACTGGCAATTAGACTAACCGCAAGGGGTAGATTTCCTGTGAGTTCGAGGAGCTGTTCAACAATCTCTTCTTGATGGCTGTCATCGGCAACGTCGACGAACACTCGGAAAGCAGCAGCAGAGGAAATGGGGCTGAGAGGAGGTAGGAAAGGGCGCGTCCATCGGACTTTTCCTGGGCGTTCAGCCCCTCTCATTGTGGCCTAATTAAAACATGAATAAAAAACTCCCGAGTTGAACATATAATTTACCATGAGGCCCAAATTGGGAATATCAGTGAGCAAAGATAGAAATTCTTCCACCTCAGGTCGAGATGAAAGTGATTCCCAGGGTGTTTCCAGGTTATCCAGGACTAGAAGAGAGGGAGCAGCGTGCATGAAGTGCGACACCACTTTTTTAGACAATTTTGGTCCCTTCTCGACACCGACGTAATCTGCAACAGCCGATACCAACTCCGCACAGGTGGGGGTCGAGTGACAGGGAACAAAATATCGGCAGGTATATTTCGATTCCACTTGGCTGTCATGTAGAGCAGCTACAGCGAGGCAGGTCTTTCCCATGCCCCCTGTACCCAAGATGGCAATTCGGGCGGAATCCTGAAGCAGAATCCTGACCACATCTCGGAGCACGGAATCTCGTCCATGGAAGATATGTGGATATGGTGGAAGCATAGTGAAGGACTCGGAACTACACGAGAGATTAGTTGGACTTGAAGGAAGGATAAAACAATTCAACAAACCTAGAAAGCGAACTTGATAATGTCCCAGTCACCTGGTCCGAGTCAGCATCAGCAGAGAACATCTGAAAGCACAAATTAAAATTTACAGATGAGCCATACGAAGTGAGATCTGGGTGAGATTGCAGAAGTGCAACCAGCTCATCATGTTGCTCCTTGGCATCCTTGCTCATTTGAACCATTTGCGAGAGCGTTGAACTGGCAGCTCGAACCTAAAGCAATTGAATCCCGACACTTCCGAGAGGTGAGTGAAATATAACATACCTTAAACAACTCAGCAGCATGGTTCAGTTCCTGTTTGCATATTTCCAAGCCTCCCTTGCAATCGGGTTGCGCGAAGAGCTGCTTAAACCTTCCCATCCTTTGCTGCCCTCTCAAAATTGTGAACATCTTTTGAAGAGTTCTGATGTAGGATGTTAGTCTAAACTCGACAAGTGAATAGATGTGGTTTTGTATACTCGGTAAATTTTCCAATGTCGTACAGGAGTGCAGTTGGAAGCACCCCTTGAGGCTCAGACATGGTGTAGAACCTCAAAATGATGCAGAGAATTTCGTGAATCCGCCCCAGCATTGTCGTATATTCATCCTTGTTTGAACGAACGGACTGCATCATGTCAATAATGCTCAAGCGGTCAACTTCGAATGCACACCTCGACACATTTCACAATCGACAGACTCAATACGGCGGCGGAACCTAAAATGGTACCGGGTTGATGCGTGTAATTTCCTGAGCACTGGTCGCAGCAAGAGTAGTGTATTGACAGAGACTTTTGAGATTTTGTAAAGACATTAGTCACCTACCGTTGTCGCTCCTCCGCGGTTTATATACTTTAATAAGTCGTTACTCATTGAACCTAATAGGGGAGCTCATTGGGGACTCAAATAAGAAATATGCCGAGCTCGGATTTCCGCGATCGATTATGTCATACTATCGTGCCCTATGGGTCTGAATCCTCCCTGTCTGACTGGATTTTATTTTTCATGTTTGTTCTAGAGCATCAATCGCCTCGGTTTTTTTTTTTGGGATGAGTACCGGCGCATATTCTCGTTGTATCCGAAAAATATTGAAGTGATTGAGGGACAAGAGCGGGTGCAGGAGACGGCGCGAAGTAAAGAAGTGGGATGAAACCATCATTCCGACAAATTTCAAGATCAAATTTCTTCGGTGAAAGTTCGTCCACTTCCCGGAGCCCAATCCCTTTGTAGATTTACGGAGAGGAGGAAAGGATGTGTCGGTACCCATTCCGAAAAACACCGAAGGGATTGTGTCATTTTTTAAAAAGATAAAATTGAAATCCAGGACCATAGGGTGGATTCAGACCCATGGGCACGATAGTACTTTAATAAGTCATTACTCATTTCGATTTGCGATACATGATAGACTACGTATACGTATATACCAAATTTGCGCGCCCGCGCTAAATATAGTTCGAATAAATATATCCTCGACCATCGTCACTGAAAAGAGATGTAAATAGAAAGCCAGATTCATTTCACTGAGCATATCCTGGGAAAAACCTCGTTGCCCGTGGAGGATTCCACGGTTAAATCTGCATCAGGGCTCTGAAAGGCTGCCGCGAGTCGGCGTAACGGACCGTAGTTTACCGATTTGAAGACGGTTTATTATTGGTAGAAGAACCGGTTTCAGTCGGGGTTCGAGGGGCTGGCTTGGCTGTAACACCTTCATACCCGCCACCGTACAAAGAGCGCTAGCCCGGGACGCCAGTCGGTCGGTCATCCAGTCGGTTGGTCATCCAGTCGGTTGGTCATCCGATATATATAGACCTACGCGGCTCTGATCTCTGCATGAAACGCGCGTCGAAAGAAACGTCCACAGACCTGCCATTCGAGATCTGGAGAATTGAACTGCCCCGACATAAAAAACGAAACAATTTGACGTGAATACAGGCTCGCGCAACTCGGACACGCAAGATAAACGCCGCAAGGATCAGAGATGTGAACCGTCTCCGAGTCGTGTACCTATGTAACTCCAACTCACGGGTCGCCCAAAGATCCAATTACCTGGGTTGGTAAGTAGCTCCACAATTATTCCATTCGGCTGGAATTGGAGCTGGAACTAGAATTCTGTTAGAGTGTACCTGGCCTGTCACACTGAATCAAGGTGAACGAAGGGGATGCACATTTGGCGTACGTTAGCAGAGCGGCCAGGCGTGCTTCTCCGAAAAAGCTAGGCCCGTCCGTCCACAGCGGCGTCGTAGAAGAAAAAAGAAAGTTACAGTCGGAATAACCATGAAAGATCCGGGCCGGCTCGTCGGAATACAAATTGTCCTTGTTCGGATCATCGGATGTTCCCGAAGTTCGCTACATACCGATATTCGACATTTCCCGAGGATGTGGTGCATCTAAGGGAGATTTAAGCCAAGCTCACACCCTGTTCGACTTGGGTTAGGTCATTTTTTATTTTGTTCTCTCTTGCCATTTTGTTAACCCAAGCACTGGTTGAATTTATTCGCAAGTAACAACGGCCCAATGGTGTAATGGTTAACATGCTGACTCAGTACAAAATCTATTTCATAGGGCTGGGTCATTCAAGTTCATTTTTCCGTTTAAGAGAATTGCTGTTAAATTTAACATTTTTGGAGCCAAATAAGAACCAGCTTATTGGTTAACACGCCCACTTGCAATTCCGTGAAGTTGACTAGTGAATTTGGTGGGAGATCCCTGTTCAACTCAGGGCTGGATCACTTTTAATGTTTGTTTTCTCACACTCCTTCCAACTCAAATTGTGCCGGTCAAATAAAAATTATTTTACACAAGAGGGAGACCCAGTGGTGTAATGGTCACCTACTTTCAGTTCGTGACTCAATAGCGTCCAGTGGGAGATCCTTGTTCAACTTAGGGCTGGGTCATTTTTCCCTCATTGTTCTGTTCTGTGTTAATTAAATAAAATTTATTTGAACTAAGACCCAGTGGTGGAATGGTTAACATACCCACTTGCTGTGGAAGAACTGCGTGGTTGCTTGTGTGGGAGATCCCTGTTCGACTCAGGGTTGGATCAATTTTTTTCCCCACTTGTCATCATTTTTGCAACCCAAATTGTGTTCGAAGTTGATCAGAAACGGGACCCAGTGGTGCAGCTGTTACCGCACCCATCATCATCTGCATATAGTCATAGTGTTGTAATGAGGGAATGCCTGTTTAATTCAGGACTGGGTCATTTTTCATTTATATTTTGGCTTGCTCTGGCACAAATTCGGATTTCAACCACTTTGGTTGGTGGATAAGTAAGGTCCAGTAGTGTAATGGTCAACACACCTACTTGAAGTATAAGGTTCACTTCATGGGTTTAGTGGGTGACCCCTGTTCGATTCAGGGCTAGGCCATCCATTTTTTTCTCCGCTTGTCATTGTTTTTATAACCCGAATTGTGCTTGAAGTTGGCCAGAAACAAGACCCAGTGGTGCGGCTGTTACCGTGCCCATCATCTTTGCATTAGAATGTTGGAATCAAGAGCTTTATACAATATTAGCAGTGAACCCGTTGCAAACGCGCGGGAAATCTTTCGTTGTCTACAGTACTTAAATACTAGTACTAATTAAAGATACAAGTTTAGTCTTTCGGGTACAATAGCGGGCATCAACAAGGCAGCAGGGATGAAGGAAGGAATGAACGACGGGGACCTGGTAGCAAAGTGCGCCACAATGACGCAGTGTGCGCACGTGCAACTCATCTTCCAACATAGAACACTTTTGTAGTGAGTTCAACTCAGGGCTGGGTTCATTTTTTCTTGTCTCGTTATCTATCTTTCAACACAATTAATGCTGAGGGTAAGGTGAATTTTTTTTGGGCTGAAGAATTTGAAAGACCCGGTGGTGGAATGGTTAACATGCCCATTTATGTTACGCGAGCTCGATATTTGGTAGGAGATCCCTGTTCGAGTCAGGGCTGGGTCATTTATTTTTTAGTTCATATTTTCCACTCGAGTTGTGTTGGTTGAATTCAAGTTCATTTGAAAGGAAGAAAAAGAGCCAGTGGGGTAATGGTTAACATGTTTACTCAGCATGTTAGTAATATTGAAGGAAGTTTACTCAGAGATCCCTGTTCAACTCAGGGCTGGGTCATTTATTTTTTTCTCCGCTTGTTATCTCCTCCAGAACTAGATTTTGGGTATGGCCCAGTGGTGTAGTGGTGAACACACCTATATATTGTTGACATCTTGTAATCTGGTTTGTGGGACATTCCTGTTCGACTCAGGGCTGGGCTATCCACTTTTTTTCCGCTTGTCATTTTTTATAATCAAGTTGAAGTTTATTTCCTCCGGAACTAGACTCTAAACATGGCCCAGTGGTGTAGTGGTAAACACGCCCACTTATTGTATGGGTCTTTAGCAATTCGTTTGTGGGAGATTCTTGTTCGACTCAGGGATGGGTCATCTTTTTTTTTTTTTTTACGCTTGTCATTTTTTACGACCGAGTTGAAGACTTGAAATTTATTTCCTCCGGAACTAGGCTCTAAGCATGATCCAGTGGTGTAATGGTGAACATGCCCAGTTATTGTACTTCGTTGCAACCAGTTTGTGGGAGATCCCTGTTCAACTCAGGGCTGGGCCATTCATTCATTTTTTTCCGTTTGTCATTTTTTATAATCAAGTTGAACTTTATTTCCTCCGGAACTAGGCTCTAAGCATGGTCCAGTGGTGTAGTGGTAAACCCGCCCACTTATTGTGCATCATCACACCCAGATTTGTGGGAGATCCCTGTTCGACTCAGGGTTGGGTCGTTCGTTTTTTTCTCCGTTTGTCATTTTTTTCAACCAAATTGAAGTTCATTTCCTCCTGAACTAGACTCTAGGTGTGGCCCAGTGGTGTAATGGTAAACATGTCCACTCAATGTCGCAGATTTCGACATTGGGTTTGTGGGAGATCCCTGTTAGACTCGGGGCCGGGTCATTAATTTTTTCTGCTTGTCATTTCTGGAAGTTCATTTCCTCCGGAACTAGACATTAAGCATGGCCCAGTGGTGTATTGGTAAACATGCCTATTCATTGTGACTTTCTCACTCGATGTTTTGTGGGAGATCCCTGTTCGAGTCGGGGCTGGGTCACTTTTCTTTTTCTGTTGCGTCATATTATTTTGAAGTGATCTGATAAGATAATCCAATTGATTGATAAGCGCGAGCGGATAAGATTAAATTACGACTAGCGCCGCGCTCGGACGTAACGCGCCTGCCACTGGTGTTACTTTCCTTTCTTTCGCATTGTCAACTTGTGTCTTTGATTCTACGGGTGTGCGCTGCTTGTCGCATTAGGCCCTAGAAGCAAGCATAGGCTTGCCACTCGCGTATCCCTGCACCGACTGCAAGGTGTACAAACACGACTCAGGATCAAAGACTTGGAAGGATTGAAGGCGGCGCATTGAAGGCAAGGAGCTGAGACGAGTGGAGGGAACGCGCGCGCTTGAGAATCAAGGCAGCAGTAGAGAGGTGTGTGCATCTTATTTATATCGCGTAGGCGGTGCCACAGCTTTCACAGGAGTCGGACATACGCGCTCCCACATCCACGACCGCCAGGAGAGAAGAGACGATGGTGAAGAACAACAACCACAGCAAGCGGCGGAGTGAAGACAAGGTGGTGCACGGGCGGCTCAAGGTGGACGCGGACAGCACCGATGCAGAGCTTACTGCTGCCGCGCTGGCTGCGACGAGGGAGCTGATCGCGACGGCGAAGGAACTCTGCGCGGAGCTGGAGCTGGAGGAGCAGTCTACGCGGGACAAGGAATGGGTTCGCGAGGCGGCCGCAGCACTGGGTAGACTCTTACTATTTATTTATTTTAAATATTTTACTTATTATTTCGCAGTTGAAACTCCGACAGGCGGTGCTGACCAATACTTTTCAGCGTCGTCGTTGCAGCGTCCAGCAGGCTCAGTTAGCAATACGGTTACCGATATGCCGCCCCCGCCACCGCCGCCACCGAGCAGCGTGTCGATCGGCAAAAAGCCCATGGCATACCAGCAGGCCGCCGCCGTGCCCGCCGCACCTCGCAGCGCCCGCGCACAAGCAAAGGCGCCCCTCGCAGCAGCCTACCCCCCCGCCCCCCCCGCAGCAGCCGGCACAGCAGCAGACGCCCCAAAGGGAAAACAGAACAAGATATGGAGCACAAGCTCCAGCGAGGAGCGCGAGCGCATCCGCGACTTTTGGCTCGCGCTCGGCGAGGACGAGCGCAGGGACCTCGTCAAGGTCGAGAAGGACACTGTGCTCCGCAAGATGAAGGAGCAGCAGAAGCACTCGTGCTCGTGTGCGGTGTGTGGGAGGAAGAGGTGGGTGTTCCTTTTATTATCGCGATCTAGACTCTTTTCTTTATTCGTCTGTCCCATCGATGGATGGCTGGGGGACCCTTGTGTCTTTGGCGCCGATCACTGGGACGGCGGCCCGAGGCCACGACGGGGCAGCGTGGTCCGCCGACTCGTGTGCGACGACGCATTCGCGTCAATGTGCGTGTGATCCGCTCGGCGTATCGCTTGTACGGCGCTGCGTCTGCGTTGGCCCTGGCTGGAATGGCGTCGGCTATGGGCTGAAACAGCGCCGGCCATTGGCTGAAACAACACTGTCGTGCAAGTCGTCGGGGACTATCCACCAGATATCCCGACGGGGGACGTCTTTTCTGTTGTGTCCCTCCCATCAATGGCTGGCTGGGGTGTGTCTGGCGCGGATCGCTGGGACGACGGCGCATGGCCACGACGGGGCGGCGTGGTCCGCCGACTCGCGTGCGACGACACGAGTCCCTGTGATCCGTGCGGCGTATCGCTCTGATTGGCTGAAACGGCGTCGGCCATGGGCTGAGACGGCTGGAGCGGTGCCGTCGTGCAACTAGCCGATAGATATCCCGCCCCTCCCGTACCTGGGCGTAGTCGCACCGCGGGCGTACTCCGCCCTCCCTACCGCCATCCCGCCTTTCGATTGCCCTTTGTCTTCTATCTTCTGCTTCCCCCCTCCTCCCTTTACCAACCCCACACACAATACTAACCTCCCCCCAGGAACGCAATCGAGGAGGAGCTGCAGGTGCTCTATGACGCGTACTATGAGGACCTCGAACAGTACGCGCTGTACCAGCAGCAGTACCTGCTCGCCGTAAACTCGGGCGCGAACGCGAACGGGGGTGAGTGCTTTTCTCTTTCTTTCTTCTTTCTTTTCTTTTGGGTCTTTTTGGTTTTTGGGGTGTCTTGTCGTTGTCGCCGGCGCACACCATACCTCCCTCCGCCCTTCGTTCCCCAGTCATCTATCTACCCCTTTTCCCTTCTTTAGTCGTCGTATAAGCACAACTAACCCTCCTCCCCCCCAGACCCACACCACAAATCACCCGCCACCGGACGCCCCGCAGGGGGCAAGGCGCTCCCGCCCGGGCCCTTCCCGGGGAGCGTCGAGGTGGACCGCTACGGGAGCGTCGTCGGCGTCGCGAGCTTGGGACGGGGGGTCGGCGGGCTGGGGGGATTTGCGAGTGGTGGGGTGGGCGCGGGTGGGAATGGTGAGTGCTGTTTCTTCTTCTTCTCATTGTTATTGTTATTCGGAGGGTGGAATGATGAGCTGATTTTATTTATTTAACTTCTAGGCATCAACGGCAAGAAGCTCGTCTCTGGGGGAGGAGGGAAGAAGGGCGCGGCGCAGCGCCGAAGGAGGAGAAAGCGCCCGCCGTCGTCTGCCCTGGGGTCGGAGGGGGACGCGTATGAGGAGGAGGAGCTCGTGGATCCGGACGACGCGGATGACGCGGAGGAGGAGCCGGACCCTGATGCCGATCCCGAGGAAGACGATCCGGAGGGCGAGGGGAGCAGCGGGGAGGAGAGCGCTGCGGGGCCGGAGGAGAGGAGGTATACGGATGCGGAGATGCGGGCGAGGCAGGCGGAGGTGGAGCGGGAGGTGGAGAGGGAAAGGGGGGCAAGGCGGGGCGGGGTAGGTGGGAATGGCAATTTGGCGAGGAGGGGTGGGGGCGGGGAGGGGAGGAGGGAGGGGAGGGGGGCGCGGCGCGGTGGATATGAAGGGGAAGATTGCGGCGGCGGGGGCGGGGGTGGGAGGTGTGGGGGGGTGAGTGGTTTTCTTCTTTGGTTTTGGGGGGCTTTTTTTGGTCGAGGGGAGGGTGGCCCTTAAGGGGGGGGGGGAGGTCGCGATCTTTGGGGGTTGGCGCTCTTTGCAGGGTGTCTCTCCCTTTCCGCGCTCTTGGGAGCGTCTCTTCCTCCCGCTTTCGGCCGTGAGCGGGACCTTCCGTCACGCCTCCATTCATTCCTTCATTTTTTTTAACCCCGTCATCCAATCCAAATCTTAACTAACCTCCTCCTTGTCCTCGACGCAGGCCCGACGTCGATCCTGACCGTCGCGGACGACCTGCTCAAGAACGACGGGCAGAAGTTCCTCGAGATGATGGAGCAGCTGGCGGAGAGGAGGATGCAGCGCGAGGAGGAGGCGGCTGGGGGGGGTTAGTGGGGATGAGGTGCGTTTTTTTTGTTCTATTGTGTGCAAGTGTCATTTTTTGGACTCTTTTTTGGACACTTGGCTTTTGGACTCTTTTTTGGTGGGCGGGCTTGCGGGCTTTTTTTTTCCATTTCGCGACTTTTTTTCCCGCGCGGGAACGTGGCGGTGGCGGGTTTTGTGCCTTTTGTTGCCGCGCTCCATTTTCGTGGCTTTTTTTCCCCGTTCTTGTGGGGTTGGTGCTCGCGCGGCTTTTGTTATATATTCCTTTCATCGGCGTTTGTCCTTGCTGCCTTTCGACTTGTTCTTCCCTTGGAAGGCTGTTGCCATTGGGGTCGCACATTTTGTTTTGGTCTTTGTGGCCTTCTTTCCGCTCCTTATTCCACCCCGCTTGTGAAACCCGTTCTGACAATTTCTAGGACGACAACTCGGACGACGGCGACCTTGACGGGTCGGAGGATGACGGGGATGACGGCGAGAGCGAGGACGGGGACGAGGATGGGGAGAGCGATGACGGGGACGGGGACAGCGAGGGGGACGACGACGACGGGGAGAGCGACGGGGACGACGACGACCTGGACGGGCCGGAGGAGGTTTGTCTTTTTCTTCTCCTTTTCTTCTTTTCTACTTGGAATGACGGGGGCCGCCACACAGGTGATGACGGAGGAGCAAAAAATGGAGGAGGGCAAGCGCATGTTCTCGATCTTCGCGGCGCGGATGTTTGAGCAGCGCGTGCTGCAGGCGTATCGCGAGCGGGTGGCGCAGGAGCGCCAGCTGCAGCTGCTGCGCGAGCTCGAGGACGAGGACAAGCTTGAGAGGGAGAAGGAGGCGAAGAAGCAGACGCAGAACCAGAAGAAGAAGGATAAGAAGCGGTGCGTTTTTTATTATTATTAGGTGCAAGGCGTTTTTGGGGTGGTGCTGATGTGTTGTGTGTGCAGTCAACAAAAACAGGCGAAGGAGGAGAAGGAGGCGCAGAAGGCTGCGGAGAAGGCTGCGGAGGAGGCGGCTGTGAAGGCGAAGCATGCCGCGCAGGAGGAGGAGCAGCGGAAGCGGCGGGAGGAAGACCGCGTGAAGCGGGAGGCCGCGCGCAAGGCGCAGGAGGAGGAGAAGGCGCGCAAGGAGGAAGAGCGCCGGAAGCGGGTCGCGGAGGAGAAGGAGAAGGAGGCGGAGCGGGAGAGGAAGCGGCGCGAGAAGGAGGAGAAGACCAAGGCGGAGCGGCGCGACAAGGAGGAGCGCGAGCGCAAGGCGCGCGAGGAACGGGAGGCGAAGGCGGCCAAGGAAAAGGCGGCGCAGCTTGCGGCGGCGCGCGAGCGCGAGGATAAGGAGCGCGAGCGGAAAAAGGCTGCCCGGGAGCGCGAGGAGCGCGAGGCAAAGGAGAAAGCGGAGAAGGCGCAGTTGCTGCAGCAACAACAACGCGCGGCTGCGGCCAAGACTGCGCGCGCTGCGGTCACGTCGCCTACGCCCCCGCGAAACGTCAACTCCAATGCCGCCGCCTCTGGGTCGAGCCCGCGCGCTGCAGCGCTGCCGACGACAAATGGCGCCGGTCTGCCCAAGAAGATCCTGAACAAGCCAATGCCTGTGCCAGTGCCCGCCATCGCACCGCCCCTGTCCCCGCCCGTTCAGCTCGCTGCCGCGCGCCACATTGTGC